GACATTTGGCTATTGCTGTTCTAGGTGGTTTCAAGCCTGTTCTGTACCTGCTAAGCCCCTTATGCTTCTCTGTTGCTTTTTTCTATAGCACAGATCACCTCTTAACATACTACACAATGTTCTTGCATTCAGGTTCATTGCAAGTTGTCTGTCTTCTCACAGCTAGAATGTAAGTCCCATGAGGTCAGGTGTCTTTACTTTGTTCACTGATATAAACCAAGTCCCCTTAACAGTTCCTAATTAAAGTGAGCATTAACTAAATATTTGTTAAATCACCAACAACAGAGTTCTGGACTGGCCCACATATTTTCGGATATAGTGGTCTTTAGTAGCCAGTGCCAATGATTGGTTTCATAGCAAGTACTATAAGGGAATGACATTTCTATTCACTTACTCATTGACTTGCTCTTATAACCCAAAACAGAAATATCTGAGTATTATTTTACTGACTTAATGTAGTTAAATGAGATGAGTGAGTCTTAGAATCAGACTCATTTTTATTTTAAAAGTATTTATTTATTTGAGAGAGAGGGTGAGAGATAAATATTCCATCTGCTAGTTCATTCACCAAATACCTAAATGGGCCAGGCTGAAGCTAGGAACCCAAACTCAATCTGAGTCTTCCACATGGGTGGCAGGAACTTAACTACCTAAGCCATCACTGTTGCCTCCCAGGGTGCTCATTAGCAGAGAGCTGGAATCAGAAGCAGAACTAGCACTCAAATCCAGGTACTCCTGTATCAATGGGGGCATCCTAAGCAGTGTCTTAACTGCTGTATCAGATGCCTGCCCCAAAGATACATTTTTTTTTTAATTTGACAGGTAGAGTTATAGACAGTGAGAGAGAGACAGAGAGAAAGGTCTTCCTTCCGTTGGTTCACCCCCCAAGTGGCTGCTACAGCCGGTGCTGCGCCGATCCAAAACCAGGAGCCAGGTGCCTCCTTCTGGTCCCCCATGCAGGGACCCAAGGACTTGGGCATCCTCCACTGCCTTCCCGGGCCACAGCAGAGAGCTGGCCTGGAAGAGGAGCAACCGGGACAGAACCGGCACCCCAACTGGGACTAGAACCCGGGGTGGCAGTGCTGCAGGTTGAGGATTAGCCAAGTGAGCCACAGCACCAGCCCCAAAGATTCATTTTTAACTGTTGAGTTGTATAAGGCCCTCAGTACCAAATCCCACAGAGCCTTCCTCTTAGAAGGCATCTCTGATTGATTTCACCTGACTCCCATCAAGCTGATATGCTATGCAAGCATGGGTCTCTTTTTACTTGTTTGTGCATTGTTTTGTCTTCTGATTCTTCATCCATCTTTACTATTCAAACCCATGTGGGTTATAGTCATTGCAGAAGATTTCTAAATGGCAGAGTCACACTTGGCTATGGAAAGCTATTGGAGAGGACTTATTCTATTGAGATTTTATTTTCGTGGAAGTAGAAAGGTATGCAGTTTCAAGAGTCTCTAAATATGAATATTATTTGAAAAGTGGACTTTAAAATTACTTAGTTTATGATTAATTGACCACCTGCTGAGAGTAAGCCATGAAGAGACAATAAAGGGATGGATTCAGAAGAAAGGAATGAGAAGCTCTTGGAAAAAGCACACAAATGTTGAAGAGTCTTACTTTAGTTTGGCTTAGGGCTGGCTCTGTAAAGCAATGGATTGTTTAATTTTATTTTTATTCACCCACTATGATTTACAATGTATGTCTTATCTAAGTTTTGAAGGAGAAAAGTGACTTATAGCTTGTTATTACTGGGCAATATGAATTCTCTATCAGAGGCTCTTAAAGGTGCTCATTTCTGTGACTTAAGTAACAACAATTTGGATGATTTTGAATATACAGTTGATAAAATATAGGAAAATAAAAATTGATATGCATTTGGACAGAAGTTGAACTTACCCTTTCTTCTTTCTAACTTTTCCCTGCATTTATTTACTTGACTTACCTCAAATTGTTGGGACTCATTGATTTTTTGTGTACCATTTTCTCTATTTATTAAGGCCTGTTGATGTTTGTAGTGGGAAAGTCACTTTGAAAAGTCTGTGGAAAGATGAATGACAAGATATTTATTTAGGTGTGAAAAGTTTTGAAATCCATCTTGTTTTTTTATATATGCATTTTCTGTGACCTTTTTGTAAACCATATCTCCTTTACTTCCTTCCTCTTGGCAGAGCCCCTGTTGGTTTTCTTTTAGAGTGTCATAACAATGTCTCAACTCCTTTCTGAACCTTTTCTCTTTTTCTACTAGTCTGCATTCTCACAATCCCCAAGCTAGACTAATATACTTGTTTTTCAATTCTGGGAATATTTATCTCTTACACTTGAATTGGATGGTTTTCCATTGCTGGACAAATGAGTATAAAGTCTCCAGGAGACCTAAATGATCCTCCAGTGTTCAAAAATGTTCCTTACCTAGGGTGTTCTTCAAACTCTACAGTAATATGGGCAGCATATAATGATGAGTTATGAAGTGTCTGCTGAAAGGCAAGCATTTCCTATGTCTAGGCCAAATTTCATTATTTATGGGTAGCTTATCATGCTGATCAGTTCATTTTTCTTAGATTATAGGCCATAGTTACACCTGTAAGACAATTCTAAGTCAGTTGGCATATAAGCTGTCTTCCTATTTTTGCCTGTTTGTGTGCCATCATGCCTTGAAAATGACATCACAATTGTCCAACTCCAAAGAAACTTGCTTGTACTCACACTCAGATATCTCCTATCTGTCTTACCATTTGCTGAAATACTTTGTTTAGTGTTATCTATTGTAATGATTTCTCTCTCCCTTCTCTCTCTCTCTACATATAATAAATACAATAATGTGCATGTGTTTCTATAGCCCTTTATTTCTCTGCTACTAGAGAGCCACATCACTGAATTGGGATAATTTCCTACCTCTCTTAGATCATGTGCTCATGATATGTGATTTACTAATCTAGGATATGAATGATTTTGGGGGATTTTTTGTTTGTTTCTGTTTTGTAATGATCCCTGTTATTCTTGCTATAGTAAGCCTAGTTTTTAAAATATAACCTTATATGAAAATCCATAGAAGAAGAAAAAGGATAGACTTGCTCTAGATGGAATGGATTGCTTGTATGAATATCCTTTTTCTTGCTACCTCTTGCTGACTATACAGAACATTTGTGACTATACTGAGCCTTGTCTGAAAATAACAGTATTCAGCTTATATGTCACATTCAAGCAGGGGTGCGTTTTTATTATTATCCCCTCAGAGGTTTATCAGAAGTCTGAACTCTGGATTTGAAATAAATATAAGAAAGGAAATCATGAAGTTGCTTGTAGGCTGGCAATAAATTTGTGAGTCATACAATTGCATTGTACACTTATTGTTTAGATTTCACCTCTGATAAATATCATCCACTTGGTTGGAGGTGTTTAGAAATTGATGGGAAGAAAGTTAAATGGGTGACAATAGGATTGGATATTTTCAGTGATAAATAACTGAGAAATAAAGTTTATTCAAGCCTTCTCTGCACTTTCTTGTTTTTTAAACAAAGACTGAAGGATGAGGGAGCTGACATTTTGCGTGCATTCAGGAAGAAATGGAGGATTTGATACATTGGTTTAGGGCAAAAAAAAAAAATTCTTTTGTATTCTTAAAGGTTTGGGTCATCACAGAGGCAAGAACAGTATGTAGCTAAAAATAACCCTGGCTTCGAGAGAAGAAATTGTTTGTGGAACATCGTTCTTGTAAGTATGGGAGGCTTCTTTGCAGGAGTTAAAAATTTCCTTGGATTCTGATCCGAGGAAATTCGAAGTTCTGGTTGTGTATGGAACCATAAAAAGTCCATGGGAAAGGGCAAAGCAGATTCCTGATGCAAGTGAAAGTTTTAGGAAAGGGAGAGGAGAGAAAAGGGAAGTGGAAGGACAACATGAGATGACATTTAATTTTAGGATAAAAAATTAAGGTAAATTTTGGTGTTCACCAACTGGAGTATTTTAATGGCATCTTATTCTTCATGACCCAAGTCTTTTATTCAGTTTCCCTCTTCTTGTCTTTCCATCCTTCCTTCCTTTCTCCTCCCCCTCCGCCCACTCTACTCTCCCCTCTCTCTTCATTCCACTCACTCACCATTTTATTTTATGTCTGTCAGGATTTGAATAGGATGTTCCTCATTGTCTGTTGTCTAAAAATCTCTGCTAAAGCCTGCAATCTGAACTGCAAGAAGAGCCCAGAAATGCCACTGCTGTCCGTGGAGAACTGGTGGTGGTAAGACTAATCTTTATCTCAGGCAGGTTAGAAGCAGTTGACATCTGAGCTCTTCTCATCCAGTCACCTCTCTCTAGACTTAATAACCAGAGATGAGGAGGTTATAATTCAGTAGCAGAGACTGTTTGTGAGACTGGCTCTCTAAGATCATTGTTGATGGAGAAAATTACTCATTGGCTTTAAGAGGAGGGGATAATGACATCTCATTGCTCAGGTGCATGTTAGCTGATGAATCCAGCTTCTGATACGCTTTATATAAACTGGAAAGAGAAATGATAGAGACCTCAAAAGCGTTCAGCAGTGATTCAGTATTACTGCCACTCCACTGCTTGGAGTGGTTATGATGCATGAGTTTCCTGTGGGTCACTTGGCAGATACCTGACCTCAAGCCAGTTTTCAAGGGGGTGTCTGTGGGATGAGGAGAAGAGCCGCAGAGGCTGTGGAGAATACTGCAGATGGCAGAGCTGTGGGATAGGAAGGAGAATCAAGTTAGAGCACTTCCCTCTGTAAGGAAACTCTACAGTGAGGTACCCCCAGGGTTTCTGTCCCCTGAAGTCACAAGGTTGCCGCCAAAGAGAAGCACCTGCCACTCTGAGGGGTTCAAGGTTAGCACCTGTCAGCAACAAGAAGCCACAATAACACCAGAAAAGTCAGTAATGTCAGAATTTTCCCAGCTGTCCTAATCCTCTCTCCCAGTCCAACACAGCCAGAGGAATGGAGATTCAGGAGAGGAATGGGAAGCAAAGCAACATGGCAGAAACTGAATGTTTGCTTGAGGGACTCCACTAGGAACCTTGGAAAGCACCCACAGTGGGAGAGGAAATTATTAAATGATTTTAATGTGAGAGGGACTTAAAACTTGACTGGACTGGACTTGTTAGAGTGCACTACATGCAGTGTGTCCATGGTGATGCTGAGGAGGTGGAAACTGGGTAGAGCAGAGTTGAAGTCAGCTAGTAGAGATCAACAGTGCCAATTCATGTGTATGTCCTAATGGTTTTTAGACTATTCAGTAAACCTCATGTTATCTGTGGGCATTGCAGTTGCAGAGAACTTTCACTGTGTGTCATAGCATCATGAAAGTCAGCTCACAGAACACAGCTGACTCTCCTAAAGAATCCTGAACACTCCAATCTTCTTGTAGCAGAAATATCTTGATTAAATGTCATCTAACTTGTTAATTCTAATGACTTGACTCACAAAAATTTACCGTGATTCCTTTAGTGCAAGGATAACTTCTGTTATTTGTGACAAAATTTGATAGGAACATTTCAATGATAACAATGACTTTTCTTTGACTTTCTATTAAATTTAGAGAAGAAACTTTGACAAACTTTTTAGATTTTGATATATATAGATTCTTTTTATTTTTTTAAGAGAAAGTCCCTTTCACCCCAAGCATGTGCAAAAAAGCTATAAAACTAGAAGAAGCTTGCTATGGGTTGGTTGAGAACCATCTTAGAAATGGAATTGGTGTGGACTTAGCAATTGCTGTCATAGATGATTCGGCACTTCAGGAGCTTGAGATAGTTGTCTATCTTATGTGAATCTCTGCGTAGGCAGTGGAGCAAATTATAAAAAGCAAAAAGGCGGGCATCTTCATCAGCCATCTGCAGGGAGGGAAGTCCTGACCAGACAGAGTAGATTTCATTCTCTTTGATTCCAGGATGAACCTAGTCACCAAAAAAGATAATGACTTGTTACTCATATTATTAGTACTTGCATATCTGTGTTTCTTATAATTGTCACATTAAGAATTTGGGAAGAGGTAGGAATATAAAACCTTAGTCAAAAGAATGGATTTTCCTGTATGTGGGCCAGCATACCAGAAATCTATAAGAAGTCTGAAAACTAAAAGCAGAACACATATGTATGCTTTTTGAAATGTATGTGATCACCAATGCAGTGTATTTTTATAGCAGTAGATAGTTGGAGAACAGAAGTTGCTATTTGGATATAGATATAGCTTTGACCAGGAGACAATGTAAGACTTGCTTCATTGGGAACTATTTCGTCTATTTCATTATTTAATTCCATGAAATTTTTTTAAAGATTTGCTTTATTTATTTGAAAGGCAGAGTGGCAGAGAGAGAGAGAGAGAGAGAGAGAGATGGGGTGGGGGGAGCGAGAGATGGGGTGGGGGGAGGGAGAGAGAAGAGAAGAGAAAGGGAGAGAGGGAGAGATAGAGAGAGAGGGAGAGAGATGGAGAGAGATAAAGAGAGAGGGAGAGATAGGGAGGGAGGGAGATGGATACTGATTTTCTATTTTCAGGCCCACTCCCCTCATGGCTGCCATGGCTGGGTATGGGTCAGACTGAAGCCAGGAACCTGAACTCCATCCAGGTGGCCAACGTGGATGACTGGGACCCAAATACTTGGGCGATCTTCTGTTGATCTCCTGGTGCATTATCAAGGAGCTGGATCTGATGTGCAGCATTCAGCATTTGAAGTGGCACTCTGAAATGGGATGCCAGCATCGCAAGTGGCAGCGTAACTGCTGCACCGAAATGCCAGCCCCTCATTTCGCATACCCTGTGTACTTTGTCTTCTGATAGTCCAACATTTGTTTCTTGCTCTGACTTGCATCTGTTCTCCATTTAGTGTATGTTCCAAAGCCGCAGAAACTATGAGAATTGTACCTGATATTATGTATGGCGCAGATAATCTATTGATTAGGGTGATTAAGAAATGCTTCCGATGTAGTCGGGAGACTTTCATCCCACCCAGGACAGGTGCGTCCAGACTTCTTGGGGGAACAGCTGCTTTCTTTTGAGGTCTTTGGGGGCAGTGGTCGCTGGGAAAAGTCCCTCCGAGAAGGAGGAGCTTCAGCCACCTCTCAGTGGTAGACTGTGTGGGATGCTGGGGTGCATGACTGACAAGGAAAATTCGCCCAACAGCCTGAGAGAGGGAGCAGCATGCTATCTTAACACTCCATCAGCCTTTCAAGCTAGGTATCCCCAGAGGTCCAAGACCAGCTAGTTGTCTTGTAGCTAGTTAGAAGACTGCTAGGAACAAATTGGGATAATTGTAGACCCTGGTCTTTTCAACTTTCTCCAACAGGGTAAGAATCACTTTGAAATCTGGGATTTTCTATTAGAATGTGAAGTGTGTATGTGTGTGTGTGTGTGTGTGTGTGTGTGTGTATTTGTTGCCTTGCTTTATAGTTCCTACTTTTTACTGTTGGTGTGGGAGCCCTAAGACAAAATTTACTGTGCAAGGTACAATGAAACAAACAAGAATAAATAAATGATAGGAAAAAGGGAATAGAAAATGAAGTATTATAGAACTAAATAACTGATCTCAGAAAGTAGGCTCATGGTAATGAAGAAAATCACTTGAAATCAAGGTGTTTATTTCATACATTCTGAGGTTAAAATGTGCTTTGTATTTGTGTTGGATATACTCTTCTCCCATGAAAATGACAAAAATGACACATGATAACATGCACTTAGTACACAAAAAAAGAAATATAAAATTGCTTCTGTTATTATTCCTGTAATCATATAGTTTTCTTTAGATGATGCATTATTTCTGAGAACTTTAGAAAGCTCTTTAGTTGTTATCTTCCTAATGTTGAAATTATCCCATCTGAATAGAGATACATTTTGCAAATTTCATCCAATCTAAGTATGACAAATTATTTGTGGAAACTAAAGCAAGGATAGGGGTTTTGATTTAGGAGCCCCAAGCAAAACAAAATTTAGAATGTTTTTGAAAAATAAATTATAAAGTAAGGAATATTTCAGTAATGATAGACCCCCTTTTTGTGACCTCTTGCAATTTAGTACTGGTGAAACAGCATTGTTGCTATGGCTTCATCTTTTCAATTTCCTCCCTCCCCAACAAGGACTTGCAGCAGATGGGGGTGAGGGGGCAGGGAAATCACTCAATGTGGTTTTGATTTTCTCCTTTATCCTTTCCCATACTTATCCTCTGGTTTGGGGAAAAAAGAGAATCTGACCAGAATTTCAGTGGCATTGTTAGGGTACACTTTGAAGAAAACATTTTTTTTAGCATATTCTGTTCTCCTGTCTTCGTTCCCTTGCCAACCACCTGACCCCAGAAAGGGACAAGCCATTGATGGATTTGTACAAGGTGTGGGAAAGGCTGCACCTGTCAAACATCACAACAGAATTCTAACATTTATCTATATTAGAATGATGAGTCACTTGTTTTATTAGTCTGGAAGAGAGAATGCCTCAGAACTGATTTCTAACATAGAGGTCACCTTTTCCATTAATGAAGGATACAAAGAAGGATCAGGAGACTGCTCACCTGGCCGACTATTTTCTCCATGCCCTCAAGAAGTCGCCTGTTTTGTTCCTCAATCTCTATGGCTTTAGATAGGATAGCATCAGGGGCTTCTTGCATGCCACGCACTTCTGTGACCAGGTGATACAGTGGGTCATTCCAGGAGCGCAGCACTCGGAGGACCATGTTCAGAAGGTCTTCGTGCTAAGCCACCATAGAAAACAATCACATGAAAATAAGCAAAATTTTCATTTGTTCTTCCTATGTGAATGCAGCTTTTTTTTGTAGATGATAGAAGTTGTAGGATGTAAAATTAAATTACTAAATTGTACCTTGCTAAAATAAAAAAAAAAAAAGTTGTGTGACTACTTTTTCTGATGAGTTTTAATTGATGACATGAAGGAGTGTGTTTTCCCTCCAAAACCCTACATCTGGCTACCCAATGAGATCTTTATATTCGATTGCTTTGCTTGTTCCCTGTGGAGAAGGCAAAGTTTGTCTGAACTCAGTAGGTGCCTATAGGACCTGCCTCAGGAAAGACAGACTCCACCAGTGTTAATGACAAGGGTCCAAATCCCTTTCACCCAAGGACACATCCATACTAAGGAATCAGACTGTTCATTAATAATTTCACTTGAGATTTACAGCTTTATTTTTCGATAGTAGTACAAAGGGATAGTGGAGAAGACATGGTATTCATTATTAGGCTTTCCTCAGTCTACTGCCTGCTTGTGCTGCCAACAGGGCAATTTTTGTTGGTTCATGCAGGTTGGTTTGTGTACACAGATGAATGCAGTACAGGCTGTCATTAACAGCAGCATCAGTAGAGTGTGTGATGCAGATTTGATCTTCCGGTTTTGGCTCACTACCCAGGATCTCACATGACCAGGTTATAACAATAAAAATATTAGATACCTGATTGGAGCCTGACATGCAAATTTTGCTGTCATCAAAAATAGAGGCAATAGTTGCCTCTATTTACAATATTACAATATTTTATAATAATACAATATTTTATAAGAACTGCTTAGTGGGGCAATTTAATTAAGCTTTGGAAGAGGGCAGAGGAATCAGAGAACATTGAAGAAGTAGATATCAGAGAAGTAGAAGAAAAACCAGGGGAGCCTTATAAGTTCAGAAGAATTGACTCAAACTGTGCAGCTGACAGACACGTAAAATGGTGCCAATGCAGGAGTCTCTACATATAATAACTAAAACTGAATTTGCATGTCTTACATATACATGAATGTAAATTTATCTGTGGATGTCTCATTTGGTTCAAAATTTCATATAGTGTCATATATATGATCTTAAGAACAAGGCATGAGTTAAACATAATGTGATCTGCTTAGACAATTTGTGGATTGCTAAGGAGTAGGTTGCAGCAAACTTTGCTTAGCTTGAATTTTACTTACTACTCATCGGCTACATAAGTTTGGTTATTGTTCATCCTTCCTCTGTTGTTCTCTGGTGTGAGTTAGCATTATCTGCTACAGTGCCTCTTCATAACCAACAGCATGGTAATACCAGTGTTCTGCCTCATTGTTTTGGTAAAAACTTGGATAAGACTCACATGGATCTGTTGGGCTTGCTCCTTGTCTTCTGGTGTAGAGAGGGAAGAAGTGTGGCAGCTGTTGATGGCTTTGGTGATGAACCCTCTGCCCTGGGTATACCGTTTATCCTGGAAATGATAAAGGACATTTAATTGGAGTTGTTTGGGCACTGAATCGAGGATTCCATTGTCATAATATTAATGCATTTGAGCAGTAATTTTGAAAAATGATAGCTTTATAAAAATTGAGACTAGGGGCCAGAGCCATGGCTCACTTGGTTAATCCTCTGCCTGTGGTGCCGGCATCCCATGTGGGCGCCGGGTTCTGGTCCCGGTTGTTCTTCTTCCTGTCCAGCTCTCTGTTGTGGCCCGGGAGGGCAGTGGAGGATGGCCCAAGTGCTTGGGTGCCTACACCTGCATGAGAGACTGGGAAGTCTCCTGGCTCCTGGCTTCGGATTGGCGCAGCACGCTGGCTGTGGCAACCATTCAGGGAGTGAAGCAACGGAGGGAAGACCTTTCTCTCTGTCTCTATCACTGTGACTCTACCTGTCAAATAAATAACTAAAAAAAAAAAAAATGAGACTAAAGAATTTTTTTTTTTTTTTTGACAGGCAGAGTGGACAGTGAGAGAGAGAGACAGAGAGAAAGGTCTTCCTTTTCCGTTGGTTCACCCTCCAATGGCTGCTGTGGCCGGCGTGCCACGGCCGGTGTACCATGCTGATCCGAAGGCAGGAGCCAGGTGCTTCTCCTGGTCTCCCATGCGGGTGCAGGGCCCAATTTAAGTAGCCCTCCTGCCTACTTTTTTCCCATTATCTCTACAAATCTGTAGTTTTTCCCATCTAACTTCTCTAACCTCCCAACCTCTTCCTTTCTTTGTGATTCCCTGTAGTTTTACCCTTCCTTTCACCCTTCCTATAAATTACTATTTGGAAAGTGAATACTAAAAACAGCAAGTATCATTATTAAGTATCATCTTTCTCTTGTATTTGGGCCAAATGCTACAGTGCATATGTATCTATATTTAACCATTAAATCTTATTTACTGTGCTTTCAAACTGATATGCTTCCCCAGTAGGTATTTTTTTTTTTATTTATTTAATGAGCATAAATTTCCAAAGTACAGCTTCTGGCCCCAGTAGGTATTATAAAATTATAAAATTACAAAATTTTTGAATAACATCTGAATCCACACACCTGTGCTTTACCAAGTTCATCATTGATACAGAATACAGTTTTCTTTGTTGTGACACAGTAAGTCAGAAAAATAGGGCATCAAATTTTAGGGAACGTTAAGAAATGGATGGAGATAAAAGAGCAGAAAATAGCTAAACATTGCCACATAGTCTTTAGCAAAATCTCTGAACGTTTAAAGGGGGTACTCAGAAGAGTAGGAGGACAAAAGATGAGCAGACAAAAATGGAGGGTGAAAGAACTAGAGAGTAAAAGGGAGTGTATGAAGAGCTATTTATTAGCAACACTGAGCCACCTTTTCTGTGGAGGCCTTTAGATTTCCTGAAGCTCTGATCTATTGTCTGATCCTTGGCTTAGAGTGACCTGGAACAGTTAACATTCAACTTTCAAAGTACCTTACTCAGGAAGGGAGTACCTGTTTCCAATTCTAAATCAGCCTTCCTATTGTAATTAGAAACCTATAGACCAGAAATAGTAGAAGAATGACTTGTAGCATTTGGGGGCTTTTGAAAAACTTTTTATTTCATGACATGAATTCAGTTAAGTTTAATTCTATCCAATCCACCCGGTGCACTGTAGTGAAACCTCATTTACTGGATATCTACAGTATGCTATGTGAAGAATTTGTATGAGAGACACCCCTACATGTAAGAACAAGAAATCAAATCTTTCCTTCCTCTCAGCCCCATCTAAAAGTGCTTCATATTAGGTGTTTAATTGTTTTTTTTAATTAATAAATGAAGTAAATCAAAGAAACTATTTTTAAATCTCAAAGATAATTTGAAAATGTTTTGAGATTTCATGAAACTGTCCTTTTAGTTCCTTAGTTTCTAGCTCATGACTTGTTTTAATCAGTGATGGTTTATTATTTGAAACGTGGCTCATGAGCTTTCTCACTTAAAGTGTATAAAGGAGATAGATGTATGTATCCTGATTGGACATTATACCATGTATATGTGTACTGAAACTTCAGGCTTCCCCATAAAATATGTACCATTCTTTGTGTCAATTAAAAATTAAAAAAAAATAAAGCATAGATCGTCCACTGATTTTTGTGAAGGCTCTGGAAAGAAGCAAGTATGGTACTTACAAATTCATTGAACATCTCTGAGGAGAGTTTGTGGATGTGGTGAGACAGGATGACTGCACGGTCAAACAGATCCCGGAGAGACACTTGGCAGTTGACGGCTCCACTGGGACAGATGGGCAGGGAGGCTGTGCTCTTGCATAGGAGCAGGTTGGACACCAGCAGCAGCAGGAGTGACCCTGCTTAAATAGAAACATGAGCCTTCTGGGGTGATCTGTTCAGTGAGGTCATCAAAAATGGTCCTACTGGGGGAAGCCTTATGTCTTCCTGCTGACCTCCATGGCATCATGCTACTGAAATAGCTACGATGGGAGAGGAATTGGTACCTTCCACGTGTAAATTCATATATATATATATATATAGATATAGATACACATAATTATATTTGAACACATGTATAGTTTGAGAATCGAATGATTCTGCATTTTTCAGTTGCTCTCAGAAGTGCTTCTATACCTTGCAAACATTTGGGATTTATGTCGTTTGTGAGCCAGGGTGTTTAAGTTACTCTTTTAAGACAGTTTTGTCTTGGGAGTTTCTGCAGATTTTCAGTAATCAGGCCTTCCAGGAATTTGTAATTTGTAAACTCATTGTAGTCTGAGATTTGTATTTTGGACACTGAGGCAAACAGTTGATCTGTTTGTCTTATCTTTGTGCCTGATAAGAATAAACACTTGATTGCTTGATTGCTAATACTTTGATGAAGAGAATTCTAACATACAAATGATGCTGTAGCCTGGATCTGCTGTCTCACTAGAATAATACCAAGCCTTTAGTTGACACTTTGCCAAAAGCTTCATATTTTTTCCCTAAATTTGAGCTTCACAGTAGCCCTCTGAGATGGACTGGACTTTCATAATTATTATCAAATTATACTGATGAAGCCGACAGCTTAGAGAGGTTAAGTGATTTCCCACAAGTCCTATTATTAGCAGGTAGAGGGGGCAGGACGCCAGTGCTGTGATCTCTGCATTTCACCTTGTCACATCACACACACCTGTGGATTTAGTCTGCATCTGTACAGGAAGATACACGTCGGCAGCCCTGATGGCTCCATGTTTTCAGGGGTTGTTGCAAAGAACGGTGTTGCCTTTGATTACAGAGAGCAGAAACCCTAGGAAGCTTGATTCAGTCAACGTTTCCTGCTTTATCTATAAAACACCCACTTTTAAAATCTTCAACATTGAGATCAGAGATGGTTTTTATCACCAATTTGCCATCTCTGTTGATGGAAGGTTATACATCTCTAGTATATCAATAACTTACATTTTTCAAGGGAAAGAAACGTGTAACTACCAAATTAAAATCACCTTTTTATTTCAGTGACACTACTCCAAAACGAACATCTTATATAAAAAGGTGTTTATTAGAAAACTAAGTTCCATAGAACCTGTCATAACAGAGATAGGAAATTTCCAAGATAAAACAAGGTAAATGCTAAAGATTGCAAAAAATTACCTAAGCCTACACACCTTAAAATTATTTAGTATACAATATAACTAAGCAGAGTTTTAGCTGCAAACATAAAACGTATTAAGGTTGTGAGATGATTCACATTATAGACTTAATTTTCCAAAAGTAGCCCATTTCTAAAGAGGTTATTTGAGGCATGGTATAGTCATATAATGTAGCCAAATGGATGTTTTATCTGCATGAATAAAGGAAATGTTCTTTGCAGATAGAGGAATTGGAACAGTGGCTCTAGGAAACTCGTAACTGAATAGATGATCCAACTCCATATTCCTCTGCACATTTATCATCTAAGGAGTGTTCACAGTCTAAGATGAGGTAAAATGGACAAATGCTTTTGTTCTTCATTTCATAAAGCAAATTTTATGGTTGTTACTAATTTCTTTTTTTTCAAATATCCCCAAGAAAGTAAATCCAATCAGTTTTTCTTAGCCTGTTTCTCCTTTCGAAATGGCATTTGGCTTGAACCAAATTGACTAATATAGGATACAATTCTGCTGTCAGCTCGACATTATGACTGCAGAATTGAGAGTTATCATCAAGTTGATTCAAGTTGGCCCAGCGCACTTTAGAGACCTGGGAACCAGAATATGTTAGTTTCTGCCTTATAGAATTGTGACAGGTTGGAATCCTAGATTATTTTAGTCTCATTCTCGTCCAGTTTCTTGATCCCAGCACTATTGGCTTTGGTGTGGGGCTGCCCTGCATGTTGGATGATGTTTAGCAGCATCCCTAACCCCGACCTATTGACACTAGCAGCACTTGCCTCCCTCACCTCGAGCAAGACAACGTAAAACATCTACATATCGCTAGGGACTTTCAGAGAAGGCAGTTCCCCTGTGTGAGAAACACTGTTAAATTGTACCTTAGTATAACTGGCTTCAACGTCATGAATGGATGGTTCTTCTGAGCTTCATAAACCTAAAACTTCTTGTTATTAGCTGAAGCTTCACAGCGACCCCCCCGCAGGAGTACTGATGCAGTCTGCAACGCGGATGAGTTGTACATACCTGTCCTCCGTGACCACTTGCTGTCCATGGTGGTGATGGATGCAGGAAACACACCTGACCAGAGAAAGTCCGCAATCTTGCGGTTTTCTCTTTTGCACACATTGGCTTTATAAACCTTTGACATGTTCATGAATATATTTAATCAGGCGTTCTCTTCCCTTTCCATGGTCATCCATTTCCGTCATTGAGATTACCCCCATAATTTCAAACATCAAATGGTATTTTATTTCTTATTCATATTCAGGAAGACACACTGGCCAGAAATGAAGGATTTTGATTAATTAGACCAAAAGGAAATGAGAGAAATGATGAAGATGAGAATCTGGAGACTAGTTGGGTTTACAGGCGTGTCAAACATCATTTACTTTAAACTTTACTTTTACTGCTCTGCAGTTTCTGCCTAGGTAGCTTTGTATTTCATCTAGGTTATAGTCTTATTTATTATCAATGCCATTTAACATTTTTAAGTAAACATTTCAAAATGTGTACACTAAATACCAGGAAATACAGAATAAGGATGGACAAAATATTATTTTCAGTTCCATATTATTCTGTCACTTTAAATTTTCTTCATGTCTTCCCTTTTTTTATTTTTTTTAAAGATTATTTATTTGAGAGCAAAGTTATAGACAGACAGACACACATACACAGAGAGAGAAAGAAAGAGAGAGAGAGAGAGAGAGAGATCTTCTATCCACTGGCTCACTCTCTAAATGGCCACAACCGCTGTAGCTGGGCTAATCTGAAGCCAGGGGCTTCTTCCAGGTCTCCCATGTGGTTGCAGAGGCCCAAGCCTTTGGGCCATCTTCCACTGTTTTCCCAGGTCATAAGCAGAGAGCTAGATTGGAACAAGATCAACCAGGATACAAACTTTTGCCCATTTGGGATTCTGGTGCCTCAAGAGATGGCTTAGCCTACTGTGCCACAACACCAGCCCCTCATATTTTCTTCTTGTTCTGTTTTCTGTTTTGTGCTTTTTTTCAAATAACACATCTTTATGATATTTTGTTTCATAAAGCATATGTTTATTTCTTTTGATGTTAACATAATGAGAGTACTTCAAAAAGTGTGTGAAAAAGGGCGTTATAAATAAGTTTATTGCATTTTTAAAAGATTTATTAATTATTTGAAAATTAGAATTGGAAAGAGAGAGGGATCAATCTTGTGCCCACAAATCTTCTACTCCACAATGGCTGTGATGGTTGGGGCTGGGCCACCTGAGTCTCCCACATAGGTGGCAGAGGTCCAAGCATTTGGGCCATCTTTCTCTTTTTTTCCTATGTGCATTAGCAGGAAGCTGGACAGGAAGTAAAGCAGCCAGGGCTCAAACTGGCACTCATATAGGATGCTGGCATTGCAGGTAGTGGCTTAACCCACTGCCACAACACAACACTGGCCCCAGGATAGGTTTATTTTGATGCAAGAAAAATTTGAAGTCCTGCATAGTTTTTAATCATATGTATTTTTCATGAATTTTTTGAAAACTGTCACATACATAAAGGGTGTTCGACAGTTTACAGATTAAGAAACAGAGAGCTGGAGAGATAAAACGTAAAAGGTGTAGAAAAAACTCACTCTTCTATAGTCAAGTTAGATGCGGGAAGGATTACACCTTTGAGAGGTACAAGGAGGGATGTGAGGAAGGCTGGGGGATGAATCATTTAATAAGCATGAATGTGCACTCACATCTAAGACAGATAAGGAGCCACCCTGACTGTAGAGAGTATATTCTGGGGAAGCAGCTTAGTAGTATCTAAGGGCAAACACACACGGGTGCACACACAGCTTGGTGTATGGTGTTGTGAAACAATTGTGGTCTATCACTTCCACTCTGGTCAAGGATGGTGTGGAGGCACTGTTATTAACTTCTGATCACTCTATCTTCTCTGACCCCGAGCTACTCTGGGGCAAGGTGACAAAATTCATTTTTCATCAGCTCAGAAGTTCCATTTACCTTTTAGAGATTTCCTAAACGGAATGATTATAATGAATAAGAAATAAATTGGTCATGATTTTCTCTAATTTTGAAGTCAATGCATCTAAAGCAGCTTGTGACCTTTTGTTTCCATTTTATTGTCTCTGACCGATGGATGTGGTAATTTAAAAAGTAATCTCTTTTTATGGCACTGACGTTTTTCATAGTTGCTAGTGCCATGTATGTACTTTGGTAATCATCTGACCAAATCTTAACGAAATGTAACATCATTCAAAACTGCCTTCCTATTTGAGCATAAGCAATCCCAGATTTTGAATCAACATGATTCCTATTCTCCATCTAAAAGATGCATTGAATTTTTGTAGACTCATGAAATGTAACCATTTCCTTCCCTAGGCAATGCAACTCTTCATTATTAAAAATGCAAAGCCATTTGGTAGAGAAATTAATGCTACCATCCATTCCCCTCCTCTTCTGGAAACTTAGGGAAATCTGCCATAAGAACTGACACTGTCAAGTTAATCTTACAATTTAAAAGTGTTGCAACTTTTGTAGATAGCCAGGATAAGAGTAATCTAAGAATACCTGGCTGTGTTTATTTAGTGGAGGCCAATTGATTTATTTGACTGCAAAGAGGTACATGTTTCTCTGAAAAATTGATTGTGTGCCTTCTTGCTGGTGCATAGCCACCCCATTTCCTGTGGGTGGGAGATTGGAATATGTAAATAATGCAAAGGCATATTTCATGCAGAAAGCCGTAGATGTCCTACTTTTCCTAAGTGCTTGCTATATGTGTCTAACACTCACCTTACTTTCTGTGTGTGCTCTCTTCCAAGCCTTTCACTTCTTAAGGAGGTACCTTCATTTAGCACAGTGAAGATGATTGCTATGAATGGGTCTGTCTGCTTTCATTCACAAACTTTATTAGCCATTTTGGGTCTGAAGGCTTGTGATTAAATTGATATATGATGATTGATTTCTGTCAAGAAGCTGAATAAGTAGCTCAAATGATGCTCAAGTCCCCATGCTATTTTTAGTTCATGGAACTAAGAAGCATTTTTGGCATCTGTTTGAAAGGACTAATTTTTAACATTAAGTGGCATGAAGTTGGTTTTCATTCCTAATTAATAATAAAGCTTACATTTCCTTTATATTTTCTTTGATTTATCTATTTTAAAGTATGGATTAATTTTGTGGATTTTTTTCATGTCATTCATGATACAAAATATATTTTTAAAAGCTTCACATAACTGAAAATGTGTCTGCTACAAGATATGATGGGCGATATTAAAGGGTGAAAGAGATTAAGAGGTTTTTTTAAATCCTCAGAATAAATGTATCACAAGACATTACTATTTATATTAGCAGTATATTATCTTTAGTAAAATGAAATTTGCAGATGACTAAAGCTGTATTGTTTAAAGATTTAAAAATTCCCAAAAAATTAATCTTCCAAAATGTGAACTAAAACTTCAGATATATGTTGGTTTCAATACAAAATACCAAAAATTGTGTAGGGCACATTATAAAAAGGACAGATGGTACTTTTCTTTTTTAAAAAAGAAAGATTTATTTATATGAAAGGCACAGTGACAGAAAGAGGGGAATATTTGAAAGGCACAGTGACAGAAAGAGATTTTCTACCTGCTGATTCACCCTGCTAATGCCCCAGCAACCAAGGCTGGGCAAGGCCGAAGCCAGGAGCCTGGTGCTACAAGAACATCTTCATTATGGGTAGCATGGGCCCAAGTACATGAGTCGTCATCTACTGCAAACCCAGGTGCATTGGCAGGAAACTGGACTGGAAGCAGAGTAGCTGGGAGTCATACCCTCCCTCTGATGTGGGTTGCAGGTATCCCAAGGGGGAGCTTAACCTGCTGCATCATAGCGCCTACCCCAGCATTATTTGCTTTAATGGCATTGTTTTCAGGATAAAATGTAATGGTTTAATTACAGGGTAATATTTAGATTAACTTCATACATGCTAATGGCCATGAATATTTTCTACAGAAGTGCTCATGTTCAATGCTTGTTTTTTTGCTAGCACTTTGGAATTTACTGCTATGCTACTGTCAAATACTTGTTCTGAACTACCTGTACCTGTGGACAGATTCCTTTGCCTAACATCGGGCAATGCCTGATCAAAGCATGATGTGGTCAGAGACTTTACAGAGTCTCTCTTTGACATTTATATCTTTTTTTCAAATGAATACATCAAATACTTACTTGTATGCTAATGGCAAGTGTGAAAGATAATTTCCATGAAGGAGATTGTTCATACTTACGTGTTATGTATGTGTATGGTAAGGATAAGGTTATGTTCTGTGTACAATGGGAAGTTGATGTGAAGCGTGCTCACTTCCAAAGATCGATCGTTAGATTGATCTATCAATTAATCAGTCATAGATTATTGTTATCTGATGGGAAATGGAACTCAGAGCCATGTTTATTTCCAGGAACAATTTTATTTAATTTTTAAAAGATGCAATTTTATTTATTTGAAAGGCAGAGAGAGACAGAGAGAGACAGAGAGAAACAGAGAGAGAGAATGAAAGAGATCTTCAATCTGCTGATTCCTTCCCAAATGGCTGCAACAGCCAGGGCTGGGCTAGGTCGAAGCCAGGGGCCTGGAAACCCATCCTGCTGTACCATGTGGCTGGCAGGGGCCCAAGCACCTAGGCCACCTTCTGCTGCTTTTGCAGATGCATTAGCAGGGAGCTGGATTGGAATCAGCACAGCCAGGACTGGAACCAGTGCCGTGATACAGGATGCTGGTGTCACAGAGGCTTAACTCATTGTGCCACTAAGTTAGCCTATACCCTATTTATTTACCATCCAATTTTTAATTTAATTTGTTTGAAACACACACACACGGGCACGTGTGTGCATGCACACACACATACACACACACAGACTGAGAGATTGAAATTGAGATTTTTCCATCTGCTGGTTCACTCCCCAAATGCCCACAGCAGCCAGGGCGGGCTCAGGCTGAAGCCAGGAACCAGTTGCTTAGTCTGAGTTTCCTTTTTAATTGTCAGAGACCCAACTACTTGAACACATGCTACTTCAAACAGGGTGCACAATTATCAGGAAACTGGAATCAGGAGATAAACCAGATCCCAAAACAAGGTATTCTGATATGGGATGTGGGATTCTCAAGAAGCATCTTTTTGTTTTAGAATTTATTTATTAATTTTTTGAAAGTCAGAATTAGAAAGAGAGAGAGGAAGAGACAGAGAGAGAGGTCTTCTATCTGCTGTTCACTCCCCAAATGGCTGCAACTGCCAGGGTTGGACCAGGCTGAATCCGGGAGCCAGGAACTTCATCTGGTTCTCCAATGAGGGTGCAAGAGCTCAAGCACTTGGGCCATCTTCTGCTGCTTTCCCAGGTGCGTTATCAGGGAGCTGGATGGGAAGTGGAGCGGCCAGGATGAGATCTGATGCCCATGTGGGATGCTGGCACTGCAGACCGCGGAATAACCCATTGTGCTGCTTTGCTACTCAAGAACTATCTTCAGTGTATGCCATACACTTACTCTTAACGATAATTTTAAATTGCATAATTTAGTTCAGGTATCACCAAACAGTGCAGAAAGTTATAGCAATAGATCAGGGTTCCTGAGGCCCCTGGAAGTGACAGGCATCGTTTTTTTTTTTTAATGTATGTTTTAAATTTTTGAAATTTTATTTAAGTTATAGAAGTTTAATGTATTTTGTATATACAGATTTAGGAACATTGTGATATTTTCCACTCTACCTTCTCTCCTGCCCACACTCCAACCCTTCTCCCTCCTCCCTCTCCCATTCCCACTCTTAATTTTTACAAAGATCTATTTTTAGTTTACTTAATGATCATATGGTTAAACCTGCACTAAGTAAATAGTTCAACAGATAGTATGAGGAAAAAAAAATGTTTCGCAATGGAAAGACAAGTGCTGTAAACAATCAAATCTCAAAATGTCCATTTCTTTAATCATTCCATTGTGGTGAGGCTGAGTTGGTCCCAGGTGAGGGATTGGGGCAGATTACAGGAATCAAGGCACTTGGGAGGTCTGGGTAGCACATTGTACTGGATTGTATGGAGAGCTATTGTGATGTTTTCACAACTCCTAAGGCCACACGTGTGCTGACACATTATTAAGGCCACACATGCATTGAGACTTTATTGCCCTTGCTTTTCTCCACTGTCCATTTCTTTTTTCTTCCTTCTGCAAAAATCTAAACTACCCAGATTGACAGATAGG